AAATATAATAATTTTTCTATCTTTACTTATTTAGGAACGGAAGGAGGTATGTTATCCATTTTTATTATTAACGTCATGAAATATTTTACTGCCTCAATTGTGTTATGCTGGAAGACACCTGCATCAACGGGGACATGCGAATTGAATTCTTTTTTTTTATTATCATTTTAAAAATTCGCATTGCTATCTGCTTATGTATATGTAGAAATTAGTTCAGTTGCTTATTCTGTTGTCTTGGACTTAGTTTTTATTTTACTGCCTTGGATCAATTTTATTTTAGGATGTTTTGGTGTTGTTGTTGTTTGAAATTCTTGGTTTTTGTTCTTTTTGTAATTCGGGGAGGTAAAGTTTGTTGATGAGTTTTGTGTAGACGAAATGCTCATCTGGCGTACAAAAGTATAGCCTGGTCCATTTTCGAGTGTTCACAAAGCTGTGTGGAAGCCACTGTTGATGTTCGTTTTGTCCGCGAGCCTATCACCAGCCCAGATAGTCTGTGCCGACATAATAAACTCATCATAGATACCAGTCTTAAAATTTTGTTCGACAGAGGCTCATTTCGTCTACAAAAGACTCATCAGTGACGCTCGAATCCAAAAGGTTAAAAAGGCCAAATGAAGTACGAAGTTGATGAGCATCGAGGACCATAAATTTAAACAGTTTGATTATATTTATGACCATATCAATGATAACTCATTTCAACACAGAAGTGCTGACTACTGGGCTTGTGATAAATATGATTGATCCATCATTTTTATTAACTTACTGTTCATTACTTTCTTAATTCATTCGAAAAATTAAGTTCATTTTATCTCTTTGCAAAAATGGTGAACTTTGTCACTACGTTTTAGAATTTTTGTTCTCAATGTTCTTCAACTTCCTAATTAATAATTCTTTCACACTGTTTTGATTCGAGTGCCACTGGCGAGTGTTTTCTGGACGAAATGTTCGTCTGGCATACGAAATGGTAAGCATGGTGTCTTTGATGAGTTTTAGACTGATAGTCTGCTGTTCTGATCGTTTGCTTTATTAAGATGTTTCTACCCCACGCCAATGATGTCCTTGGCTACATTTAACACAACGTTCTAGTATTTTGTTCTTAGTGCTATTTACCTTCCTAATTGCTTTTTTTTCATACTGTTTTGATTCGAATGCCACTGACGCATCTTGTCTGGACGAAACGCATTTCTGGCGTACCAAAATAGAATCCGTGTCTTTACTGAGTTTTTTAACAAATCTCTGATAGCCTGCTATACTTTGCTTTATTAAGAGAGAATTGAACACAGTAAACGGTTATTCTGTTTTTATATTAATTTGTTTTCATAATTGTTATTTTTGTGAACTTATTTTGAAAGGTGTTCTTTCTGACGACATGCAAAACATTGAACAGTTCTACTTGTCAGTTTGCTTCTTTTGTTTTTCTTTGCAATGGTTATAAGATAAATATATTGCCACTGTTCATGGATTAAGTTAATGTTCGATCTCTCGTTGAATATATTTTGACTTTTGAATTATTGGATTTGTCAAATCATTTATTGAAACTGGGAGCCAGTTATATGGTAATGCTTTGCTAGGAATATGAGAAGAAAATTTGAATAAAATATTCCAGTATTCCAAGTCAGGAATACAACAGTTGTTATTCCCTGGTTCCGTTGGTTGATAACGTTTGATTTTGTCAGTTTTTATGGACTTCCAATTTTTTAATTTACCTTGGAGTTCGGTCCTTTTGTTATACTTCAATGTTAGTATAAAACTGTGGTTTTGCCACGAATCAGACAGGTTGGATGAAGCAAAGTGCAAAGTTCAGAAACTGATTTTATCGATTGATTTTTTTTTTAAACCCGCATGTTAAAAGTCTACTGTCGTTGCATGTTGTATTCATTGTATGCGTACCACTAATATTCATTTCTAGTCATTTAAATAATTTTATGTTCAACAAATGATATTCTTTAAAGTAAAATTCCGTATCAGCTTAAAACAGTATCGTAATAAAAAAATATCGATCCTTTTACATGCATTTAAAATTCTTTCTAAAGAATACAATGTACTAAATAAGATACAATCATATACCTTAATTTGATGAAGCTTGAAAGATATCTACTTTAGATCTTTCAGAAATAGTGCTACTTTAGTCGTATTATTCATGATTATTGGTTTAGATTTGTATATTTGAGAATCATTTGGTATCATGAAGGAGTCCAATGAGATATTTCAATTATACATCATCTGACAGTAAAATACAGACGACCGGAATTAAAATTTGAACTTCTTCTGTAGACCACCTTATTCCTTGTTGTTCTCTATGTACAGTTTATATCAAATTAAGAAGATGTGGTATGATTACCAATAATATATCTATTCACCAAAAAACAACGAACTGATTTATACCAAAAACAAATATTACAGACATCCACCAACGACAACTGCTGACTTACAGACTTCTCACTTGTGACAGGCTTAAACATTTTTGCGAACGCTCAACCCTCCCCTTACGTAGAAAAAAATTAGCAACAACACAACATAAGAACCAGCTGTAAAAAATAGTTGAAAAGGGCTCGACTCATCATACCAGCACAAAGAGATAGCCAACCGATGACCACTCAAGATTATATCACTTATTTTTTAAGTGAACACAAATTTCAATAACTGTACATTCAACCTAATCAAGGTTTAGTCACTTTTTAGATAGTGTTATTAGATATAATAACTGACAAATATTACTGATAAAATAAACTTAAATAGTCTCCAAAATATGTTGGTGTGAAAATTATGGAAATCTTTCTTCGTGAGACTTCGATAAAAAGAAAAGCTAATGAAGGTTTTTATAAACACTTTTTCTATTAAACTGGTGTTTCTAATATGCAGCACCACAGAGGAGATTGACATGTGAGGCTGGCAGTGCAAATATCTTTGGTGTACAACTTGGGACCACTGCCTGCCTGACCCATTGTCTATTTTTGGGACATTTAGGTGCCTATTGTGATAGCCACAATGTGTGTCATTGTCGCCACTAATACGGTGAGTTTATAGTCCTTTTATATTTTTACAGATGTTTTATTTAGAAATAATTGCATAATCTTGGCGCTTGTTTTTTGTTGTGTTGAATGTTTTTAGTAAGTATATATTTCTTAACTGTTTAACTTGTTTTAACTTATTTAATGTTTTCTTGCTCTTATCAATACGAAATAACAATAACAGTAGTTTATAATATTATATTATATGCCGTCCCACTATTCTAATTTTCCTCCTCTATTCTTTTTTTCCACATTAAGAAAAGGGAGCAGCATATATAAACTACTTTTATTGTAATACCGTATGGATACGACCGAGAGAAAGGAAATACCTTGTGCACTGCAAATGTATAATAACTCAACAGGATGTAGGACCATAAGTGTTCATAACTGTATAGCCATACATATTAAGTTATGTCTTAATTCATCTTAGTACCTAAAGATCTAACTACGGTGTAACAACATTAACGGTACAAATTTTACTGAAACAAAAGCGCCTTTTGACAATTAAATTGATGCATTCATATAAATTCATTTAAAAATGTTTATTATGCGATTTTGATTCAAGAACTACTCGATTCTTCTATCAAATTTACTGCTCATTTCAAAGACAGGTGGAAGAGCTTTTCAAGTTTTTGAAGAATTATATTTTGGTAATAACAAATTCAGGATTAAAGCAACAATTACATAATGTATGTGACACATCTACCCAAAAGCACATGTTTTAACCATTCTTAGAATGGATGAGTTAACGTATATCTTTTAGATAATGAAAGAAATTCCACGATGATCAGAAATATTATCATCAGCGCTTTTACATTTATTCACCATCTAACTTTAATTTTGTTTATGTTTTAGATAAATTGTTGGAATCGTTGGATATACCAAGTCCTAATGACGAATAAATGTGTACAAAATATAATTGTCACTTCCATAGTCTGATCTTGTCCAACCCGTTCTTCATGATTTAAATCCCAATATTGCAAGTTAGTTTTCTCGTTTGAATTGTTTTACATTTATCATTTCGGAGCCTTTTATAGCTGGCTATGCGGTATGGGTTTTGCTCATTGTTGAAGGCCGTACGGTGTCCTATAGTTGTTAACTTCTATGTCATTTGGTCTCTGGTGGAGAGTTGTCTCATTGGTAATTATACCACATCTTCTTATTTTTATATCATAGCACAACTTCAATTCATTGGATCTATATATCATACGTTTTGGTAATTGTTTATCTACATGTATAGGTTGTGGCATTTAATATAGCAGTACTTTACTTTAGACGGGACCTATATGTTATTTATAATAGTTTGGTAATTTTAGGATTAATATTGAAATGAATTACAAAAACGAATCATGATTGAATTATCTTATTAAATGAGTCCATAAATTTTCTTACTACTTTCGCACGGAAGATGTTGTTTTACGGACACAGTCTAGTAAAATATAGAAATATCGAGTCCCTTTACGTAAAAGAAGGCCCATTTTTAAGCGGGCGTAATTTTGAGAGTGAGCTTGTCAGATAGGATGAAAGTCTTATGACCAATAATTCACAGCTCATTTATATTTAACTCATAATTTAATTTTTTTGTCAAGTTGGTCTGCATTTCAGGGTTCAATGACTTTCGTAAAATCATACTTCCGAATGGTAGACATTTATATAAATTTGAGTATTAAGATACAACTTATCTAAAACTCATTTTTACAACTTTCAAATTTTATTTTCCACTTATGCATTACCCGCTTATTTCATTATATGTTTCTTATTTTTTCTTACTGTTTACTAATTATCCAGTTGCAAATCTTACAGATTGTATCAATCCGCCATTTTCAAAATTGTGTATACTTTTTTTCAAATTGTAAATGCTCTTAGCTATTTAAACCTTATATATCCCATCATAATATACTATGACTATTAAAATATATCTACAAGTTATTTCAACAAAAGTCTATAAATGTTATAGATTACATTCATAAATCTGTGTTTCATCATTGATTAAAAACTTCAAACAAAAACTAAACAGTTCAGAACAATTATCATATATAATAGAAAGGAAAATCCAACAGCATTGGCTCTGTTAACGTAAGAAGAAACTCTATCAAAGATTGGATGTTTATCCAAACGAAGTCGTTGAAACTGTTCCTCGCGAAAATTCTCAAAGGTAACGATCATATTAGTTGATAAAACTTTTTTCAAAGGCTCCAGTATTGTTAAGTTAAAAATATTTTGAGAATGATGAGATAGAGTTCCATGGAGTAATTTTCCATATTGAAGTGTGAGCGTTTCGTTGATAACTGAAACAGATGCATCCCCATAAAGAGAATTGCTATAGTTTCCAATGAATCTGTTAGTTTCTGAAATGTTAGTTTGAGTCTCATTTCCCGTTGTCGAATTTTTCTCTGGAATATGATTCCATGGTGACGGGTAGCTACATGCTGTTGTATCATTTAACCAAGGTTCAAGCTCTAGTAATGTATCGAAGATATAATACATGGTTGGAAGCATGATATTGCGGAAACCTGATTTCCCTAAGCCATTTGAGTTTAGGAATACACTGATATTTTTGCTTGGAATAAACCCGAGAACTGAAGTAAATCCGTATAATCCTCCAGTGTGGAAATACATGGCCAAATCTGTAAAATATATGTATTAATTATTATATAGCGTTTAAAAAATGCAACTTTAAACCCCGAAGAGTGACAAGGGACATATTATATGACTTTCAATCGAATAAAAGTTTCTGATAAATAATGACCAAGGGAGACGAGAAAGCAATCCAACGACAAAAATAACTAAAAGATAACTAGAGGAAAATATGCTAAATAAGTAACAGATGATGGATTTATGTTTAACGTCCAGTGGCAAATAGTACATGATTGTCAGGACCAGAACATGTTAATGTAATACGAATATCTATATCTGTTTTGTACTGAACCGACTTTCTGAGCCAGATGTTTAACTTACTTGTTCATAAGGTAACTGTCAACAGGAAAACATGTCACCCTACCCACACACATTATTCTGACTCTGTATAAACCAGCCTGCTTTTAATCGTAAATGCTGAGTAGTCATGTGAGAAGCAGCAAATGCCAATTTTTAAGTCTTTGGTTTCACCCAGCAGGTGGCCGAACTCCCGATCTCACGGTGAACACGCCATCACGAAACCACCAAGATGGTTATCAATTTAAAACAGGTGTCTTTATAATTCATCAATCATGTAAAATAGTTATAATTTGGTCACATCTTCAGAAACGAGATATAATGTTCCTAAAACTGTTAAAAAAAATTAAGCTGTAATATTGAAAACATAAGTAAACATAAAAGACTTTTCGGAAATGTATCTAGTAAGAGAAATCGGTTCAACCTCTTTTAATGGACTTACATCTACTGTTTCGCGAGTTTGTTTCTTCTGTTTATTTTGGTATTTATCGACATATATGATTTTTGTTCAGTGAACTTTCTTAAATTAAATGAATTAAATTCAATGCAATTATCTTTTCCTCACCTCTGTATTTTGTTAAAAACCAGGCCATCCCATAACCGTAAGTATCGAATGATATAGGGAACTGGGGGTATTCCAAGCTGTATCTAGAGGCTATTGACTTCGGAAGTATACTTTTTTGCTTAAACAGGCCATTAAAAACATCGTCGTGGATGCCCAAGTGATCCATATATTCACAAGAAGTCAGATATTTCAGAAGGTTTGACATATCATCTGCGGTACTACAAACACTACCAGCAGGACCAAACAGGTCAATTCTGAAATATTAGAAGGTTTGACACATTTTCCTGCGGCACTAAATACAATTCCATCATGAGCAAAAATGTTGACGTCAATTTAGAAATGTTAGAAGGTTTGACATGTCATAATTATGCGTTACTACAAACACTTCCATCAGAACAAAACAGATCATATCAAAATGATAGATTTAGATAAGACTTTCAAAAATTAATTACGAGCATGTATAAGTACCATTTCACAAATGGTTAAAGTTGATGATGAATCAAATTCGGTAAGAGTCAAAATGGTTTTTTTTAAATGCATTACTTAGAGAAGTATTTCTGCGATCAATTGTCTTTTGTGTTAGTTTTTTTTTTAACTTTGTGTCAATTTGACGAGTGAAGCTTTTTTCAATTGATTTACAGTGTTTTTTATTATGTGCTGTTACACCACTGTGCCAGGTTATTGGGTGTCGAGCGCTCACAAACCCAAAGACTGGGATATTTTACGATTTTCCTATTTTGATATAAATTCTTTGTTCGTTTATTTGATCAAGTGGAAACCGTGTTCAATGTCTGTCGCCTCTGTACATACTCAGTATCACTTCCAAATGTACAAATACACGAAGAGGAATAGGTCTGTCATACATTCACGCTCATATAATTCACATTTTTAGATATAATCAGTATATTTAGTTATTATCAATATTTCTATATATTCAAATACATTGAAAGATCAATGTTGTGTCAATCTCGATTTTGTTTTCTTTTGACATATTGACATTAGAACTGAGGGGCAGATATAAGAAATTACCAAGAGAAACAAACCCTTTATCAAAGAACATCTGAGAAATATGTATTTACAAAGTATTAAATTAATTAAGTCTTTATCCAGAGACACAATTTACGGAAATCCTAAACCCATAAAATAATAATCATGTAAAATTACTTTATTCCTTTTTAAAAGTCACCAGGTCTAGACCTGAGGACAGAAGTAATTTAAGTTTCATATGCACGGACTATTAGTGTTATTTTTGTCGACTGTATACATGTTTTCTGTATATGTTACATAGTATTTATGGTTATCTGTATTTGTCATTGGTCTTTATTGTATGGTCTGTCTTATACTAGTTTGAATTGATAATTCCAAACTTCATGTTTTGATCAATATGGAAAAGGTGTATTCTAAATCGGTGATAACATTGAACAAAGTATTAGCTGCATTCAAACTTCATGCAACTCGGTCAACAATTGTGCCATGACATATTTTTGTTCACGGTTAATCATTAACTACATGTCACCATCTTATAATTAATATACAGACGACTTTAGAAAATATTACCCACACGGTATAAATACTTTTATCTGATTCTTCCATTCCTATTTCTTCGTCGAACAAGTATGGAGTCGCCAACTCAGAAAAAGTTTGGTCTGTCAGAAAGACTGTTGATGTCATATTCAGAGGTTCAAATATCTTTTCTCTCATCAAAGTTTCCCAGGGTTTTTTACCAATCTTTTCTGCCAGATATGCCACCATGACAAAACCAATATTGCTGTAGGAAAATACGTCTCTGAATTCTTCTATCGATTCCAATTCTTTTAAGTTACTGGAAAAATACATGTAATGAGAATAAAACTAAAACGTGTAAATGTAGTGTTTGGGTCAGATGCTCATTTTTGGATTAAATTTCATCTAGAATGCTCAGATTTAACAGTAAGGAATGCAAACGACCTATAGACATAGTAGGTGCTAAACATCCGAAATGTGCCTTTAATTAATACTAGTATGCAAACGACCTATAGACATAGTAGGTGCTAAACATCCGAAAGGTGCCTATAATTAATACTAGTAATCAAAACTATCCAATTTATCAGCTCAAAATTTATGAATTATATATAATCAATTATGAACAATACTGAAACATTGACAACACAGTGGGCGGGTGATACTCTCTTCTCTAGATAGCGTTATCAAAAGGTATAATAAATTAATCAAATAAAATCCTTTGGATGTCCACAGGACATTGAATAAATACACCAGATATCATCGTTAATATTGTCACACGTGTTTTTAGGGCCTCAATCTTCTTGCAAAACTGAAATACATCCATTTTGATACCTTGTCAAACGTAATTATAGATATCAGTTATTCAAAAAGATATCTTGACACCAGATGTCTTTTACAAAGATATTTATATGAGTCATATCTGATTTTGTCCCCAAAAATTGCTGTTCCAGTCAATGCTGAAAAGGAATTACCATATTCATATATTACATATATATCATTTACAGCATTGGTCAATATGTGAATGTTCATGTAGAACTGAACAAAGTTACACTTGTCAAACGTAATTATAGATATGAGTTATTCAAAAAGATATCTTGACACCAGATATCTTTTACAAAGATGTTTATATGAGTCATATCTGATTTTGTCCCCAAAAATTGCTGTTTTTGTTTTGTTTTGTTTTGTTTTGGTTAAAGAAAATCAAACACACAAACCACATACTTGATTAAATCTCCACGTGACCGATGTCCCCCTTCTCCCGTTTGAAGCAACACATCAGCTGATTCCAGGCCGGTTCGATGAGACAAAAAGTCCTCCAAAGACACTAACGATGCTCTACAGCTATCGTTTAATATAAAGTTGGAGCCCAAAATATCTTGTACTTTTGTATTCCAGTCAATGCTGAAAAGGAATTACCATATTCATGTGTTAACACCGCAGAGATTCTTTAAATATATTACATATATATCATTTACAACGGAGTTATTATTTTAAGGTATATATAGTCATTTATTGTTACAGCATTGGTCAATATGTGAATGTTCATGTAGAACTGAAGAAAGTTACACTGGTCTGTATTGTGACTGTCCATTTTCAAAGCGTTTTAATATTCAAAGTTGTTAGATTGATTGATTGTTGGTTGCTTATCAAAGTTGATAGATCCTCGTAAGTTAATGTCGTTAGAAATATTTTCAAGGTTTTGCCCTTTAAACAATTTGTGTTGATGGCAGATCTGTGGTAATCTGTGTTAAATTTATACAAAACTTTTCTACGCTCTGAATATTTTAGAGTTCAACGTATGAAATAGGTAATACTATTGAAAACGGAATGTTATTGCTTCCATGGTTTTGTTTTGTTGTTTTTGTTTTTTTCACATTGTTTTTGTTTGTTGTTCTTTTTTGTTGTTTTTTTTTTGGTTTTTTATTTTTGGGGGAGGGGGGAGGGGTAAGGGGGTTGTTTTTTGTATTTTCTAATTTCCCAATCATTTGACGCAAAATTGTACTTGAACTAATTTTACTTTGCAAATTAATTCTAATTCGTTGTAATTGAGATATCTTTTTAATAAACTGTCTCGGTTATATTTATGACAAAATTAAAATTAAGTTCGTACAGAATCCAAAGAAAATAATAATCAAAATGTGAATAAAGACAAAAATTAGAATTGCAGTCCAGAAAGTCTCGGAATATGTAAAGCTTTTCCTTAACCGATAAGTTCGATAGATATACTAATACATGTATGTCTTGTCAATTACACTTAACGTGGTTAAATTAATGGAGTGTTTTGGTAAAAAACCTTGAATCTTTTTTGTCTTTCGCTTCTGAAATGAGTACTGCCCACATCATCGACGTTAATGTTTTTGTAACGGAACCAATATTCATTTTTGTAGTACTGGTAACAGGAGTTAGAGTATCAATGTTTGAATAACCAAATCCATCAGTAAAGATTTCTCCATTCCTCACCATTGCAACTGATAAACCTGTTTTAATGTAATGGAGCAAATAAAATATAATCATTTATGCCATGATAGTAAAATTAACGCTATTCAAGTATTAAATCTCTACGAATTGAACAGGAATTAATGATAGCAACCACACACCTCCACCGGGCCTTCCCAGCATGCGCAGCACATATTTTATCTGTTATAGACAATAACGAAAAATATCATTTCAAGTGCAGAGATTATTTAGGTTTCTAAGACGTTGTTCGTATAAAACTTTGATATAATTTTCATAAAAATCTGACATGAGATGTTGGGACACGGTGCTAACAATGTTATTGCTAATTGAATTTACATCTTTGATCTCAATTTCATAAAAATCTCACAAGAAATGCAGACATATGAGAGTTTTACGAACCGATATTCAGGCTGACGGGACGGACGCCCGGTATTTTGTAGGTGCACACACAAAATAACGGAAAAGGAGTTGATATTTGAAAAAAAACAAGTCAAAAGGAATTGTGGGTGTTTGTTCGGAAACGCGAATCTAAACAAAAACACAAAGTAGATTCGGTACGGTAATTATTATGCACAATTTTTAAACATGTTGTTTATTTGATTGTTTACTGTCATAAGCTACCATTATTTTGCACCTAAAATAAGATTTTATAAAAAAATAAAATTATGCACACTGAGTAACATTAGAATGATTGCTATTACATTGTATGCATAATAAGTTATATATAAAATACATGTATCATGAATGATGGTAAAACGGTAAAACAAACACGACTTGGGTAGCTTACCTGTTATATTTTTGCATTCCATCGTTGTTTTGATGTAAGATTTAATTGTGTCTTCTTCATTTGCAGAAAAACCGTCGCCACTTTTAATAAAAGTTACTAAAAACAACGCAAGGATATTATGTGGAGACATTTTACCCGATATTAACTAAGAAGTAGAAAATCTTAAAGACGACGGGTATCAAGAATGTTTGCATAAAGGTATCTCCTTAGGGCAAAATCATAATCACGTGATCAGATCATGAGACAAAATTGAAATGAATACGTTATCAAATACCTTGTGTTTAGACAATGCGCAGTTTGTGTGTCTGTATAATGCAACATTTTACGAAAAAAATTTGAACAGGAGCAGGTATGATAAGACACCTTGCATTCCCTTAATACTGTCAAAATGCTTCAAAACCCTTCAAAACTATCTGTCAGTTTATTGATAATTAAATGAATATGATGATATAAGGTGTACATTATAGTGCAAAAATGTCAGTTGACACTATGATTTCATAAAAAAAAACACATAGAAATAGAAGTATTTGACCTGAAATCGCCATTATGTAAACATAGTTTTTGGTGACAGTAGATATATACGAGTAAAGGCCTAATTGCCATCAAATTTAGATATTGTACCCACTTATTAGCATCTTTGTAAACGCCATCTTGAAACAAAATATTGTTTTATGAAATGCTTTGGTTCATATCAAAATCTTTTTGTTAAGATATCATGGCAGCTTTGTTTTTATTTATTTTCATAGAATGAAACACTGATGCCCTAAAGAGTATATATCAGAAGACAAATTTAATTAATCTACCGAATTAGAATAATCACCGGGTTTTACTTACATGAGCAACACGACGGGTGCCACATGTGGAGCAGGATCTGCTTATCTTTCCGGAGCAAATGAGATCACCCCAGATTTTGGTGGGGTTCGCTTTGCTCAATAAATATTTTTCTATGTTGATTGTGTTTTGTATACTGTTGTTTATCTTTCGGTCGTTTTTCGTTTTTTGCCATGTCGTGAAAATTGTCAGTTTGTTTTCGGTTTATGAGTTTGAATGTCCCTTCAAATGGTATCTTTTGTCTCTCTTTTAAGATTAAGAATACCGATATTTGACACACTAATTTTATGTAAACATCTGAAGTTGGTTATTTGATAAATTTATGATACTCTTGGTTTTCGAATTCAAGGGGCCAAAAAGTGGCTTATATGTAATCAGATTACGTTATCTTCTGCTTAATGAGATATGTGTACTGTGCAAAAGTGGCATTGCATAAGACCAGTTATATATACTAAATTATTTTAAAATAAGAATAGGATTCCGTAATATTGAATATTCCATGTTGTACAGTCCGACCCTTTATACCTCTTTCTAAGGTAAATTGACATACAGTTTACACAATGACTTGAATGATTTCAAAAGTAAACACAGGGAATTGTCTGTTGTTGAGTGTGTTAACAAGTATAATTTATTGAATATTGTTCCGGTGTATTGTCTGTTCAGGTACAAATATAGAACGGTTGTTGACATGATTTATATAGCGAGTACCGTGCGAAAGTTTTTACATTTCTAATGTTTTCTGCATGAATGACTATAGGAACTAGATGAATCAGAAATATAAATCAAAGCACTGTAAGCGCTATATGCAGTTAACCAAAAACCAAGGCAAACGTAATTATGAAAACAGTGGCAGTGTTGCTTCATTTTTTTTAAAGATTTGAAAGAACAAATATTAAACATTCGTATATTGTACATGTATGTTTATTAAATGAATTGATTATTAAGGCAAATTAATTAATATTTTATCAAGATTTTCAAAAGCAATGCATATATCAATGTATATTTTTAATGATGAGTTTGCAGTGGTACAAGTTCGCAATGATTGCAGTTGTTCTAGTTGGTAGTTAACGTTGGTACCAGTTGACTTTTAGTGGTACAAGTTGACGTAGTACGAGTTTGTAATAGTATGAATGGACTTGCTTCCCTGGCAGGAACACTGAGTTTGGGTTCTACAGTACAAAAGTTATGAGACACAAATCAACCAAAGGTTTACTACTACAGGACTCAAAGGTGAGGTCTGATTGACCTGCCCATAGTAAATGTAAATGACCCTTACCTTCACCAAGTCTATGATGTCACTCCATCCCAAGTTTGGAATAAAATGACAGGTTATTATAAAACAGTTGGTCAAACATTCTTGGGCTTAACACTGCTTGAAAGATTTATATGTTTTCTTTAAAATGAGCCATAAATGAAAATTTTTATAGGCCCAGAAATAATTCAAAAAATAATTAAAGTAAATTTAATTAACCTAGACTTATTTTTGCATCAATTAAATTTTATAATAAACAAGAAATAATTGTAACAGGATGCTGTTACGAAGTCTTCCAAACAGAGCTCCCATACATCGTCATTCCCATGGTCGCCTGACATTGGGAAAAGTCCAGTACAAATTGGTTAGGTCTAGTAAAGTGATATGCATATGTGACGCCTAGGAGATTGACCCTGTATGTCATTCAAATCTTCTTTAAATGACGAACAGGAATAAATATGGTTTAGGGGTGGGTATCTCACCGTTTACAAGTTCTCAAAAGGGGGGGTGATCCTCAGGGGACTCGCCCTTTGTTTCATTTGATTTAGTTTATTGTCCCATACAAGAATATATATGGTTTCGGGGTGGGGATCTCAACCGTTTACAAGTTTTCAAAAAGAAGGGGGTGGGGATGACCCCCGTGGACTCCCCCTATATTTGATTTGATTTGATTTATTGTCCCGGCCCATACCAGAATATATGTGGTGTAAGGGTGGGGATCTCGACCGTTTACAAGTTTTCACAAAGAAAGGGGTGGGGTGTCACCAGGGACTCCCCTATATTTCATTTGATTTGTTATCTTGTCCCATGCATGAATATACGGTTGAGGGGTTGGGATCTCGACAGTTTACAAGTTTTCAAAAAGAAGGGGTTGGGGTGACTCCTGTGGACTCCCCTATATTTCATTTGATTTGTTTTATTGTCCCATACAAGAATATATATGGTGTAGGGTTTGGAATATCGACCGTTTACAAGTTTTCGAAAAGAAGGGGGTGACCACAGGGATCCCCCTATATTTCATTTGATTTGTTTTATTGTCCCAAACAAGTATATATATGGTTTAGGGGTGGGGATCGCAACCGTTTACAAGATAAAAGCACATTTTCAAATTGAAGGGGGTGGGATGACCCCCAGAGACTCACCCTATATTTTATTTGATTTGTTCTATTGTCCTGTTATCATTACTGAAGACTGTGTGTGTCTATCACTTACTGTTTTCATGTAATAGTCATTTGAAAATTGAAAAAAAAAAAAAACCATAGGGTTCTATAGTAAACCCCTCCCTTATTAAGGCCCCTCAAAATACCCCTAAATAGACCCCAATGCACAAACGAAAGATTGATCGCTCCGCTAGACATGTTAGTCTTACATTTTATGAAACCCTAAGTAAATCTGACAAGCGGTTCGAGTTGTCTTTTTAGACGGTCCGAATGGACTCGGTCCGACTTGTCTCAGGGACGAGTTGTCCACATTTCATAAAACATTCCATCAACGTCATTTTGTGTGTTTTTTTAGAATTTCAAATGTGACGTCACTTTGTGCGTTGAGGCTTTGGCTAACTCGGCTGTGTATTTTTATGTGTTGGATTAAGTTGTTTTATGTAATGTATCCGTTTTTATTCTGTAGTTAGTCCCCACGTCGGTTTTATCCTGTATATCTATTATATAGTCATTTTATAAAATTTACTGTTTGCAAAATTATAAATTATTCTAAATAATAAGGATTTTCTTGTCCCAGGCAGAAAACCCTGGCCGTGTTGGGCGCAACTTTTTGGAAGTTTTGGTCCTCGGTGCTCTTCAGCTTTGTACTTGTTTTGGCTTTCAAACTTTTTTTCATCTGAGCGTCACTGGTTAGTCTTGTGTGGACGAGACGTACGTCTGGCGTATTAGATTTTAAACCTGGTGCCTTTTGTTAGCTATTATTTGTGTGTTTCTTTGTCCTGTATGTTCTCCCATTTATTTGTATTGTAATCCTGTCATGTAATGTTGTCATTTTAATGTTATATTTAACATTGCCATAAAAGCGGGAGGTTTGGCATGCCACAAAACCAGGTTCAACCCACCATTTTTTTTCTTAAAATGTCCTGTACCAAGTCAGGAAAATGGCCATTGTTATATTATAGTTCGTTTCTGTGTGTGTTACATTTTAATGTTGTGTTTTTGTTGTAGTTGTTCTCCTCTTATATTTGATGCGTTTCCCTCAGTTTTAGTTTGTAACCCGGATTTGTTTTTATCTCTATCGA